GTAAAAATCGAAAAAATGTATCACAGCTTACAGTGAACTTAATAATTAAACTTAATAATTAAAAATAATTAATCAGCCGCTCGATTTCAGGCTCAAATTTCTGGCTCATATTGTACACAAATGTTAAATGAAGCATTAGGAAGGTTAATTGTAGGTCATAAATTTTAAAACTTCAAGATTCTATTGATAAGTTGCCTTGTTAAGAAATGCCTACACTAAGGAATAAGAATAACGCAAGTTCTAGACATATTAGTCTCGATTTGAAGCTGGCATGAATATATCTCAAATATAAAATGAAAAAAACAAATGACCAGAAATCGCTTGTAGGCTTCCAGCCATCGGGCGGTATAAATACAAAAGGACATGTGCTTGGCTCGCTATTGTTGTGGGAATGCTGGAGTGTGTTAATTAGTAGGTGGCTTTAATTACTAATTAATTCATCATTGATAATATCAATATCGATCTGAGCAATTACAAAAATAGATTGGGAAGTCGCTTCTAAGTATATAAACAATATATATGTACAAGATAGTGTCCCTTGAAGAAAATCAATGTAGTAGTAGCTGATGCAAAAAGTAAGAAGCATATTTTCAAATTAATGTTTCAAATCCAGCTTACAAGCCGTACTTCATTTTTGGTTTTTAATCACGAACGATATGTTCAGTGATTTGATAAGGTAGGTCTATATTAGTGGCCCAATCTTTGTCCTGCTTGAAAATAATGTCACTTCAGTCTTACTAAACATTAGTGTCTATTGCATGCTTACAATTATAAATATAAATTAGTAAAAACAATCAAATTTGTAAGAAAAACTTAATAATAATACTTAATTTCATTTCTTGCTCTTTTAGTTGTAAAGAAAATTAATAATAAAAAGCATCCATTGCCCCCCACTCTCAGAACTGGTTTAGCATTCGATTGGTTGCAGGCATTTTAAGTGGAGTTTGGCTCCATTTTCAGAACGATCTAGGTCTAGACTGCACTCATTAGCCGAGAGGCCCATTTTGGCTAATTACCATGGGCCATATGCTAATGGAAATTTCCGTCAAGCACGCGTGTGTGACATCTGGGCCAAGTAAATTGTCTTTTTGGCTGCCAATCGCTGAAGAAATTATCATTAGGCCGACACACACACACACACACACACACTATTTGGAATGTGTCGCACACTTGATTGACAGTAAAATTTCGTTCCCGAAAAAGAGGCCGATGTGCATATTTGATTTGAAGTTTGAGTTTGCTTAAGTGGACGGTCCCGCTCTCACGGACATACTCGCACTACAACTATATGCTCGTAGTATATGGGAGGAATCCAGTCACCACAGCCCCCACCCTTCTACAAATATTGACGAACGTAATTAGCGCTCGTATGTAATTATTCATGCGAACCATTAATTATTTTGATTTGATAAGTGCATAAGCCTTGCCAACAACAACCCACTATATAGTACGAGTACTATCGTATGTTTCCAATTCGTTCGGGGGCCACTTGAAATGTATTCTTGAGCCCTTATGACCATTTTCCAATTTCACATATGCTGTGCACGCGTTTCGCATAAAGAAAGAAAATCGGATGGAAAACTAACAATATTTGCAATAAAGAAGCCCACAATAAAAGTTAACAACTGACCAGCTCACGCACACACACACACACATATTTGTAGGCCCAATATGGCTTTTGGCCTTTATGGCGTGCACAAATATTGAAAACAAATTTGCGCTAAACGCCTCAAATTGCCAAAGTTATCAACATAAAAATGGCAATAAATGCAAATGAAAAGCAATAAACACAAAATCCACACACGCACGGGCATTCAAAAAAGCCAAACACCCTTTAGCCGTTATCCTTTACCCCTTACCCCTCACCCCTTACCCCTTTTTGTATCGCACCCGTTTTTTCCTTACCTCTCCCTCTTGCTGGCAAAAGTCAATTTTCAACGCTTCATGATTGTGGTTGCCGGCCGAGCTTAACCAAAACGCATTTTCAATAAATACCAATTATGATGGGCTCCCTTTTTTTCTGACCATGCGAATTGTTAAACCCGTGCATTCGACCAACAATCGAACAGGTATGGCGGGGCGAGGGGGTCCTGTGTGTGGTTGTTTTTATTTTCGTTGCTCATTTCATGGCCCATTTATGAAATTATGCCACGAGTGGCAGTGCATAAAATTTTGATGAAGTTTAATAGTTCTTTCTGCTTCAACTGCCTGTTCGTTCTCACAATAGAAGTGCGGGGGAGGACATCACAAAACTTTATCAAATAGTACATACATATTTCCGAAAAGCTTCCACACACTTTGCATTTGCGTGCGCTTACGCAATAGCTATACTCGTAGAACAAAATGTGACAATTGTCTATATATACACCTATGTATATGCATTGGGAGAAAATGAGTACAAGTAATCAAATCTATTACCCATAATTTTGAATGAGCTGCAACTTAAGAGTCGTAGGAAGACCTCTTGACGAGGTAATGAAGTAAGAAATTAATAATTGCTCATGGTTTATGTTCTTCTGGATTATTTTGTTTAGCAAATATTTGTTATGAACGACTAGGAAGTTGTAGATTATTAATTAATAAGAGGCTATTAAATTTTATGAGGATTTTTATTAAGTTCATCAAATACGGCTGCTCTTCCTACTTTAAATTTGTTGGCAGAAATTCCTTTATTAAATAGAATTGTAAGATCGTCATGAATGATAATTTCGACATTAATTAGGGATAGCCTATGAGCAACACTGCCTATCTAAATCTATTTAGTTCTTTTATTCTTTATCTAGCAGTCAAATGATAAATATATATTTAAGAATTTCATTTTCAATATTCGCAATTTCTCTCGATAGAAAAATTATGTTGAAAATCTCCATATATATAAAACAGTTTCTCCTGACTGACTGACTGACTGACTGATTGGCAATCAACGCACAGCCCAAACGGTAAGAGCTAGGAAGCTGAAATTTGAGCTCAAGAAGGGATTTTGGTAAAATCGAGCTCCACAGTTTGTTTGAAAGATCCGCGTTTTTCCACCAATCAACTTCAAATGTGGTTCTTATAAAATATTTGGACAAAAACAAAAATGTAACGCACTACTAAACAGTTTTTTGTCAAGAACAGAAAATGCTCATTTAAATATTTTAAATACCTTCCTACTACCTACCTACACACATATACACACATATTTAGTATTGTATACTTAGAAAGCTACTGCTTTTGCCACTACAAGGACAATCCTCCTTGAAGATGTCTTTGGAACTGTTCTGTGGCAAGTACGTTTTGAAAGGAACTGGAACAGATTTCAAATAAAGTAAAGCATAGTTAAAGGCTTCGCTTCTGACCATTTTTTTGTAAAATTTAATGGAAACGTGAATCGAGAACACACATAAAGCTTTCAAGGCGATCGCAAATAAAGAAAAGGAGAACAAAGTATTTTAATAAAAAAGAACTTAACAAATAATTTACATTTTTACCAGAACGAGCTAAAGTGAGATTAAGCTTTTCTTTGTTCCGTTTTCTACTTCTCTAATTAACTGTAATAACTCGCTCATAAAATATAATTTAAACAAAATTTGTATTAATTAATTTTGAAGTAATATTTTCGCTTGCATATTTCCTGACAATTTGCATCGATGTTCAGGTATGGTTTGCCAGCAAATCAACTTTTGTTGAATGGCACACATGTTTGATTCTGTGGCTGTACTTCCCAATAGATTTATTTAATATAAGAATAAATAATTAATAATTAAATGAAATAAATAATTAAATAAGACTAAACTCCTAGTTTAAGCTGTATTTGTATATTTCTATAAGTTTTATTTAAGTAGTTGTAAATAATAACAGTATAATTAAAGTTTTACATTTATATAAATAAAAAAAAAGTGCCTGTACTAGCTATTACTTGTATGTTAGTTATTATATGTTAAATATATAGTAAATGTATAGTACATTCATCAATAATCACATGAGTTTAATAGACATTTGAACTAAATACAAGAATTCAAAGTTGTCTCCTCCATTTGAATGAAATGGAAGAATGTTTATTTTTAATAGTTTGCAACACACAATCATTTAATTTTTAAGTTATTCTCAATGCACATTTTCTTCAGGTGTACTTCTTTAAATATGCATACACATATGTGTATGGTTTGTATGTGGGCAGCCGATTTGTTGGTGCTTCTAATTGATAGTTAGGGTACAAAATATTGAGCCACTATTGCATGTCTTTGGCAACCTGAGCTGGTGGGTCATGAAAAATTCATGCACAAAGTGGCCGGCCTATTGTCGCTTCACATAATTAGGTAGCCTTGGGGCTGCCAAAAAACATATATGTATATCTATAAAAAATGGAAAAAAAAAAGAAATGGGGAAGTAGCAGGAAGAAAATGTCGCACATGTCAGTTGCGAGCGTCGCACATGACGCAACAGAAATGTGTGGCACAACTCGCACGAGTATCCTTCAAAAACAATGCCATAATCGTTCGATTTTGGGCTTAGATTGACGAGCCTTCCATGCTCTGTGGCTGAAATTTGCGCGCTTATCAGTTCAATTTCTATCTATTGGGCCAACAGCGACCACAACAACAATAACAATGGCCACAACCAATGTGTCATTTGGCCGCAACAAAGGTCATTGTGTTATTAGTCGTTTGCAAGGTGGCTTTAATAGCCGTGGCAGAATTCATATTATTAATGAACAATGTACTTTGGACATTTATCGAGGACATTAAAGTTTTTTGTGCATGCAAGTTTATTTGCATTAAGGCCAGCCTAGCCTTGGACTCATTGTTTTGACCGAACGATAGTCTGCATGGCTAATAGTTCGATAAACAACAAAATCAAATAAACTAAGCAATCACATTTCAAAACTTTCTATGTAACAAAAATATTGTGAAAGAAGTTCAAACAGTCAGTAGGGTTTCAATATTTTGTCTAAAAATTGCAGTTCGGCTTTGCAAACAGACTGCTGGGTGATTCGAATAATCTTGGGATAGAAACTCCAAGCCGACAAAAGTTTTAAACATTTCCCTAATTTGTTTTCTGTTGTAATTGGTAAAGTCTGTAAAAATTCGAACTTATTTCTAAATGCAGAAAAATGAAGTGCTCTCAAACAGCAATGAAACAATAATGGAAACTCATTTGAATCCTTCGCAGTTGCAGTGCTCATTAGTTTTGCTCACTTTTCGGAACAGGATAACAGAATTGAGGACCTGGACTATGCACAGTTAAGGAGTCCATATATCCTTCGCAGTTGCAGTGCTCATTAGTTTTGCTCACTTTTCGGAACAGGATAACAGAATTGAGGACCTGGACTTTGCACAGTTAAGGAGTCCATATACTTGTAGAAATCATCTTATGTATAACCGAATTAAACCTAGTGATGGAGCGGCCAGTTGTTTTTCATCCTGCGGCAAAAGCAAAAAAGAGCTTTCAAAATTATTTAAAATTTGTTTAGTTGATGAAAAAAATTGTTGTTTAACGTAATGTGAACGCTTTTTCAAAGTTGACGAAGAAGATGTCTTTAATTGTATGTTTCAGTGAGCTTCCGAGGTCAGTCTCACAACAGCTTTTCTTAGTTGAATGGAGTTTAAAATATCTTTTTAATTTAGAAAATTTTAACACTAAAATAATAACGTCTTTAATGTCCATACACGTCTAAATTTTCTTAATTTATAAAAAATCATCTAAAATATTATAACATGATTATTTGGTTTAATCGCATCGCAAAATGTGAAAATAACATTTATGAATATGTCCAAACTATTATTATTTGTTTTAACTGACAGTGGAAAAGAATTTATAAGCGCTAGGATGGTTGTTGACTTTGAACGCAAAGGTCTTGCCGAGGCATTAGCCTTGTGAAAGCAAAGGACCTTAAACTAACTGAATGGCACGCCCAAGTTAATTAATCACAGCGTTCGCCTGCCTATCATCGACAAGTGCTGGGTTACTTGACAAAAATAAAATCTATAAATAAGTGACTATTTTTAAAATAAAAATACTCTAACCCTGACCACCTTACACATACTCGAGCATAGTTATACTGAGGCTTTACATTTTTTTGAAGGATAGCAATGACGTACTAGGCACTCATCAATCGCCACGTTCCAAGAACTATCTGGGCCTTTAAGCTGATCCAACTAAACGCTTCATTGCCTTGCAAGTTCGGGAGTTATATAGTACTTGTAGTTCCATTTGGAGGTGTACTTAACAAATTGCCTCGACTTCTGCATAATGAATGAAGAGCAAACAAGGCAGGAGAACAAAAAACTGTGCACGGACAACTTCTTGTTGTTACTTGGGTTTTTGCGTTGCTAAAGACCGCTAAATCAAATAGTGTGGAGTAGGGATGGAGCGTGAGTTCTGGAGTGTGGGGAGACCCGCAACGAGGTCAATATTAGGCTTATACGATTATATGGACAGGCAGGCAGGTATTGGTATTGGGTAATTTTTGGGCATTCGTTAAATGGCCGCACGAATGACACAACTAAGGAGTTGAAGGTGGAGGGGGATGGGGATGGGGCATGCACGCATGTCAGTTCGAAAGTGCTATGGGAAGGAGCAGGTCGATCCTGGAGGTTGGGTGTATCGTGAAATTGCGCATTTCGAGCATATTTTTGGCTTTGAAACACATGACAGTTTTATTATCTAGTAGCGTTCATTTTAGGCCCGAAATGCACGCCCCCGATACCGAACCGAACAATAATAATTTAATAGCCGCATATGTATATGAACTATACATATATTGTATATGTATATCGATCGTGTGTGCAGGTTACTGGGCGGTGAAATTGAAGCTAGAAATGCTTTTCAAATTGCGTGCCATGTCCAGTGTTCAAAACGAAACCGCAAATGGAAAAACCAAACCAAACCAGACCAGGTACACTTTCGATGGGCGACCGGGGGCTGTGACGACCTACTATACTACTATATATGTACGTATAATGTGTATGTGTGCGTCACACACATGAATTATTAATTGACAATTGCCGAAAATGTGTACTACACACAGGACAATGACGGGCGAGCGTTGGTCGCGCTGTTTGCGTTCACATCAAGCCCCCTTACGGGCCGGGAAAAATTTCAATTTGTGTCTAATGAAAATTGTGGCAAATGCTTGTTTTTCCATTTGCCGAACCAAACGAATGACCAGCTCGGTAATGGGGTTAGTTTTCCCAACATACGTCTATGCAGGTGTCTCATTTCGGCCGTTTTTTCGGCTTTGTTCTCATTGCTTTCGGCCAATTGCAAATTACGACTTCCGCCCAGTGTCCCAGCACCCTCTTACTATACACATCCACACATCGAGGTACGCGTGTACTTTTTGATTATGTGCTGTCATTTAGCCGCTATGTCCACTCTCTATGTATATGCTTACAAATACATACAGCACGTATGTAATTCTCACACACACACATACACACACACCAGCACACACCCAACTAATGACATTCGGCAATGACAGCGAAAAAGTCATGGCAGCAATGGTTTGGGAAAGGGTGAGGGAACTGAGAGGGAAGCCATTGAATAATCGTGCTATTTATTGACATAAGACAGACAACACTTTCAAGTGCTGCAAACTTCTTGGTTGGAAGTTGTTTAGTAGAGCTTTAAACAATAATAATGACAATAATGATATAAGGTACAGAAAACAATCAATCGATGAACAATCTGCTCCAAGACCTCTGCTGGGATCCAATTGGGGGTGGAGTTAGTTCTAGAAAGTTCGCTTTAATGATGAGCTAATTATGGGACACTGAATTAATTAACCACTTTGGCTGAAACAACCGCTGAGTTCCCATAAACACAAAGACATGGTAACCCGATTCAAAGAACTTTACTAGTAAATCAAACAAGGTACTATATTAAATAAATTAGTATTAGTTAGGGAAACATGCTCGTATTTAACTTTTTAAAAACCTTTGCACAAGGTAAAAAACTGCATACTACAAAAATTCTGATAATGAAACTGTGTTCAAAGAATGGAAAGAAATATGCATTAGAGCAAAACATTTTTAATGTTCACAATACTTTAGGTAAATATTAATGAGCGTTTGTCATGTTGCAATCAGAAATTTGTCTCGTCAAATGACACTCGAATGTCATATAATAACACCAACACATATAAGTATGTACATATGTGACAATAATAATATATATCAGTATTCAATTCTATTCATTCAACGCTTTTCAACCATGAAAAAACAATTGCTGTTGGTAGAATATTGGGTGGGAATTACAGTAAGCTGCTCCTGAAATCGAAAAAAAAGCAAATTTGCCTTCACCAAATCAGAAATGTATTTAAATATATTTCGAGAATCTTACAAAAATTTGTATTTGAAAATAATTTCGTGTCTGATTTCATTTTAAAGTCATAATTTGTCGCCCACTTAAAACAATGTGCACTTTAATTTTCGCCAAAAGCAGCTTTACTTTTTGCTTTTCTAAGCTACAGCACGAATTAATATTTTACCGATATAGTTAAGTATAACTAGAGGTCTTAGATTCTATACTTGTATAAATGCATCTTAAAATGTGAAATTTTATTGCGAATCGCAAAAATAAGTGAGAATGGGAACAGGACTCCAGGAGGCTCCTGAAACCAATACAAATTGCACCTCAATAGGTCTATACTAATGGGCTTATAATATGTGCTATGCACGGGTTGTGTTACTTAAAAAAGGCGGAGTGTGGAGCTGCGTCAATCAAAAATATAATAAAACCTTAATATATACAAATACATTCTACATTCTAGTTACGTTCAAAGGGACAAGCTTTATACACCAATCTCAAGGATTATAAATAGTATAGTAGTGCAACCTTTTATCTCTAGGATAAGTGTATATAAATTTATATATCGCAACCATTTCTAATCATTAGCAGGCCATAATTACGCTCTTGACTAATTTATGTGGGCAACCAATTGTTAAAAGAGTATCCATGTGTTACTAGTTGGAGCAATCTGAACATTTGGTCTAAATGTGATTTGCCTGTGTAGGCAATGAGTTTTCTATCAATACAAGTATATCAGAAAATACGAGTATGTTTAATTGCAGTTGGACAATTATATATCAATTTTCGAAACTTTCGGTTGCGTTTTAAAAGCGCGCCGCAACGAGCTCCTCTTCCACATTACATAATTGCATTGTCGCTGAACAACAACATCCACGTTCGGGCCGTCAAGCAGCTGAAAGCTGAATCAACAGTCGGAAAGTCAACAGGAGACGGACCGGGTCGAGTCGATCCACGCCGACAAGAACAAAACAAGAACTTCTGCCAGCAGCAGCGGCAGGTTTTGAGCCAAAGAGCGCTGCCGGCCGCTTAAAACACTGACGTGTACGAATGTCATTCAACTCGATCGGAGAACATTCAGCTATAGCCACATACATGCACATATATACTTGTACATACGTATATGTATGTGCCTCTACTTCGACTTCTACTTGAGCTGAGCGACTGGCTAAGCTGTTGGTCGGCTGTTATAGCAACGACAACAACAACTACATTCTGCGAGAGTTTGTGACGCGGAGTGAGTGAGAGAGAGAGAGCGAGCGGAATTGAGAGAAAAAACGAAATACGCGCTCAGCACTGGCATTGCCAGCCAGTTTTGATTAGAAGTTGGCCAAGAGTTGGTCAAGAATTGGCGACGTCAGAAACTGAATCCACGTTTTCGCAAAAACAAAAGCGTTTGGTGAAGAAATGTTGGCCAGCCAGTCATATTATTTGTTGCTAACAACGCTGCTCCTGCTGGCCCTCGCACCGAACAACTCATGGGCCATTTCGTGCACCGGCTGCGTGGACTTGGACGAGCTGAACTTTGACAAGACGATTGTGCGATTCCCCTACTCGCTAGTAAAGTTCGATATTGCCTTTCCGTATGGGGAGAAGCACGAAGCGTTCGGGGCCTTCTCGAAGGCAGCGCACAAGGTGACGGACGAGCTGCTGATTGCCACTGTGGGCATCAAGGATTACGGTGAGCTGGAGAACAAGGCGCTGGGTGAACGCTTCAAGGTGGACGACAAGAACTTTCCCGGCATATACCTCTTTCTGGGCAACGTCAAGGAATATGTGCAGTTTCCCGCCCATCTGGATGTCACGGTCGACAATCTGAAGTCGTTCATCAGCAGCAATACGCAGCTCTACATTGGACGCGATGGCTGCCTGAAGCAGTTCAATGACGCCCTCAAGGACTACGCCAACAAGGAGAGTGCCCAGCAGCTGGCCCTCATTGCGGAGCTCAAAAAGGAGCAGTCGAAGCTGCAGAAGCCGGAGGAGCAAAAGAGCGCCAAAGCCTATTTGTTGTTTATGCGAAAAATCAATGAACAAGGCTATAGTTTCCACGAGGAGGAGACGAAACGCTTGTTGCGCCTCAAAGCCGGCAAGGTAACCGAGGCCAAGAAGGTCGAACTGCAGCAAAAACTGAACATTTTGGAAGCGTTTCGAGTCAACAAACTGACCAAGGCCACTGAGTCGGCTCCTACGACGGCGCCGCCGGCAAAAGAGCTATAAAAGCGCTGCAACATGCAAATACGCCTAAGAGGTCTTCAAGAAAAACAACACGCTCTCAATAGTTTTAATTAAATTAGACACGCGACTGTACATTAAATTACTTATAACAGTTTAAAACAATTCTTGTTCCAAATTGTAGAATATTTTCAGCTTAACGTTTTGCTTACAGTTTTGCATTTGGGACAACGCCTGCCAATTTGCCATGGCAACAACAAATTGCTAACAAGTGGGCCAGAGACAACATATGTTTTGGCCAATGCAAGCAAGTCGTGAGTCGTGCATAGAACAACCGATGCCTGTTTTTGCTCTGCCTTAAAATATTGGCAACATATACTCGTAGCTATGCGATTCAGATCAGTAGCAAAAATATAATATTGCCCGAATGAATCTAAAAGATAATTTCGTAGGCGAGCGAACAAAGATTGTCACGCAACCACCCGCAATTGAAACATTTCATTTGCTGCCTAATAGTAGGCAACGCATTTTTCTAAAACACCATTTTCCAACAAATGGATATACCAGTTATCTGTTATACTATTGAAATACCTTCATTACCCGCTATACTATACTTTATTTATTTTTATAAAGTAATACATGCATATAATAAATTAATGTAACGGCTACTGGTAACAGACTTGTTAACAGGGACAGGTTATAACAGTAACAGCTTACTGCAGTGTCGTCAATTCAATTGATGAGAGGCCAAATATTAAGTATTTCAATTTTAGTTCACTCAAACTTTCAAAAGAAAATTCATTTATTAAATAATTTAAAAGGAGACATGTACCTAAAATATAGTTGGTTAGATACTGTCTTTATCAAAACAGCACAAGCAACAAGTACAAATATTTTTGAGCGCGCTGAAAAGATGCATTGAAAAATTGTGCGGGGGATATTTAAAATAATTTCCCTTGCGCTGCCTATAAATTTCCCAATGCTAGCCTGCAGTTGTGTGAGAGCTCCAAGTGAGTGACCGAGACAAGCTGCAAGTTGCGCTCTTTACACACACAAACCCACACACACACACACAAACCCACACACACAAAGGCACATGCGATCATGGCAAAGCAAATTAGGCATGGCCGTTCACCATTGCAGTTTTTTTCAGCCAGTGGAGGCCGGCACGGCATGGTGGGGCAGCCGGGAGAGCGGGTTTCTGTTGTTGTTGACGTTACTGTTGCCATTGCTGTTGCTGCTGTTGTTGGTGTTGTTGCTGTTGTTGGTGTTGTTGGTGGCGCTGCGTCATGTGTGCATTGTCTTCGCTTGTGTGCGTTTGCGTTGTTATCGCTCATTTTCACTTTAATATGATTTTTTCATACATACACACATACATACATTCGTGCGAGTATGTTTGTATGTATTTATGTATTTTGTTTTCTTTGGAGTTTGCTCTTTTGTGCACGCCTTGGCGCTGGGCCGCCATATTTTTTGTCGACGCAGCAGCAAACGCATTTTTAACGTTGCTTTTTTTTCGTATATATTGTACGCGAAAGTCAATGAACTTTTTCGGTGTTGTCTAGGCATTTGTGCTATCGCCGCTGTTGCTGCTGTTGCTGTTGCTGCCATTGCTGTTGTTGTTGTTGTTTTTGCGATAAGTATGCATTCGAAATGGTGCCCGAAATGTTGAAAGAAATGATGGATATGAAAACTAACAGAATTACATAAACGCACAATTAAGAGCAAATAGCAAACCACAACCACACACACATATACATACTTGTACATTTGTATTTATGTACATATGTACATAGTTTGTGCATGCTGGGGCGCTCTTGCTGCTCTGTCTCTGTCCGCAGTCATTATTACTATTAGTTGATTTTGTTATTGTTTTTTCGGGAGATGGGAGTTCTTCTAAAAGGCTTGTTAAAAATTAATGTTGACGGAAATACATGGTATGAATAGGAATTTTATTGGCATTTTTAATAAAGCAACAAAATTACGGGTATGGAATAAAATACTTACTTTAGGGCAGAATTATTGCGATAAATATCAGACTATTGATTCACCTATTAGTGATCAAACAATTTTTCCACCACCAGGCTTGATATTTTCTTTAAGTTATCTAACATGCCTTTAAGTAGAGTTAAGTTTCCCCCCACTACTATTTACGTATATTTGATAAGATAATCATTCTAGAAATGTCCATGTTTAAACTATTTAATATGGATTCGACTTCTAGTATGAAAGTTTCATCTATTTAGGGAAAGAAACGTTTAATTTTTCTTAAAAAAAAAAACACCCCTCCCTAAATTTTGCATTATTATACAGCCTATTCTATTAACTTGCACAAACATACAAAAATCAATTTTCATAAGTTGCTGAACTCCGTACAGGGCTGCTATCTAAAAATTTCGTATATTTTGAGGATTGTGCAGGTTACAACATCTTATTAGAAACATTTTAACTTTCTAAGCTTATAAGTTTTTCTAAAATATTGTAGATTTGTACCTTAATACATAAATCTACTGCCAATGACTCAAATGTGGAATTAATAATTTATTATACAAAACCTCAAATTTTAGTGTAAGATGTTGCAAGTCAAACAAGGGGCAAAAAGTTCATTTAGTTCATTTATCTGCCAATTTATCTTAATTAAGGATTGTCGCAACAACAAAAAAAATGCAATAAACTGATCACCCGCTTTTGCTTCACTCGCCAATTTGAACATTTTTTCACAACCTTTGACCCGCAGCTTCAGCAATTTTGCAGAACACACGCTCGCACGCACACGCGCAGTTGCTGTAGCGCCATAAAAAGCGGAAAACTCAATTGGGAAAGTCGGCTTGGAATCTGCTGGTGCAGTAGCAACTACTATTTTCCCAAAACTATTTTCACACACTCGGTGGTGGCTGCTTAAAAATCGACAAGCAGGCCACACCTACGCATACACACAGAGCAGATCATGGCAGGATCATGATCATGCAAATGTTTGCGTTTCCACGCAAGTGCATCCAAAACACAGCAGACAGTCACGCCAAACAACCAGTGAGTCAATCAATCAGTCCTGCTGTCGCCCAGACCTGCAATCAAATGCAATCTTGCAGGTGAACCGAACCCTTTTCACATGCCCTGCCAAGGGAATGAAGCAATTCAAATCGATGCATTGTGTGTGTGGCATTGCGATCTCGTTACCACGCATCCCAAAACCCAAACTTCAATTATCCTTCGATTTTTCCCCTTTTGCCAAACTCGGCACTCCAAATGGCGCAGCAGCAATTGCACTTAATGCTGCGTAAAAATGCGATCCTGCTATCCTATCAGTGTTCGATCAATCCAAAAATCGAAGAGTCTGTGCATCGTAATTCGAGACTCAAATTGAAATTTATTGTCATCTGGCAGTGGCGATGACTCCGACGCCTGAGTGCAAGTGCAGTTTTTTTTTTTCACTATCTTGTTGGTCTTTGACCAAGCGCTTAGTATGCTATCTAGTCTACGGGTCTTGCAACCAAAGGCAACGTCAACTTCATAATGTTGCGCACGCCTGTCGACTACCTGCTGTGAGATTTACGTTTATGCATTTCATTTTGTCGTTTTTCGTGCGTTATTTTGTTATTTTTTGTTTTTGGCTATAAAACAGGTTCAGGTACAGATTTATCTCGCGCTGCAGATCGCTGCACATTTATGCATCCAATGGCCGCAACGGCGACGCCAGCGAAGGCGGCGGCTGCGCCTTGAGCGACGACTCCCCGACATGAAAGAAGGCCCAAAGTGAAATGTGAATATAAAAATAACATTAAGTGAGAGCAGTCGAAGCGTAAATACTCTATCAAATATAAGAATTCAGTTAAGTAAAAGATGAAACTAATTTGAGAGGAGTCCTGCCTTAATAAATGATTTGGTTTCGGTTATTTTTTAAATAACAGTAAGCTGCATTTATTATATTAAGAATAATAGTAACAAATTAAAAACTTTAAGGAACAAATAATAGAAATACAAATAGATTATCTTTTTTAAAATTATTATATTGTCATAAACTAAATTAAGTTTTATTACTTATTTGTTATCTCTCTTTATAGTACAGTTCTATATGAAAACATGAGTGAGAATGCAAGTGCAGTGTTATTGTATTTGTATTTAAATATACTTTTATCTAAAATATACATTCTCATACATTCTGAGTTAAATAAAAATAGACTTCGCTAGTTGATTTACTTACATGATTTTCGGCTGTTTAACTTTGACAAATAATATATTTTCAATAATATTTTAATACATTTACAATTATGTATTTGAAAAACATTGATCTTAAAATAAATTGAAAAGGGGAATTCAAGAAACCTTGGTTGATTTCAGCAAAAAAAACACACTTGATTAAATTTTCTTTAAATACTTTATAAAATCAAGTTACTTATCGATAAGGTTGATTAGCTTTACCTGGCAATTTGAAATTGAATGTGTAGATATTGCTCTTGAAGTATATCGATATAACTATTCATTTCCATATCTTTGTTTGTATTGAGAACTATTCACCAAACCTTGAAATTCCATTCTTCATATTATCGCAGATATATGGAACTGCAGCGTATAAGGCCAAAAAGGAATTTAATTGAAACTAAAACTAACAAGAGCGTAGGCAGGGCGGGGTAGGGGTTGGGCCATATAAAGTATTTCGCCTTAAAATGGATCTGAGCTGGATTTGTTGAAGTTTTTTCATTGATCATATGCATAAGTTATTTTTTAAATGCATCGCGCATTATTTAATAATTATTTTAATTTTTGGGGCCCCCTCCCCCTTTGGTAAAAGCTGCCTACGCCCTTGAAAACTAAGTATATTTTCAAACTTATTTAATAGATTTCTTGATTTATTTAAAGCAACATTATACTTGTAATACATAATATTTATATACAAGTATAATGCAGATGCAATGCAATGGCAATCCACAGAAGTCCCGTCTTTTGAAGGGTATAGAATGCCATTGGCGATCTCTTGGCATTTGTTGTTGGGCAAGTTTAGCAGCCAGTCAGTGGCTTCAATATTGGCCTGGCCATTAGAGTATGTGATGTCCCTTTCCAATGGTGATGCTGATTGTGATGGTGATGGCGATGTTCAAACACGCCTACAAGTTGACAATCAGTGGAGAAGAACAAAAGAGTCACATACGAGTATATATGTATCTATGTATGTATGTATGTATGTATGTATGTCCATCAACGAGTATGCATTTTTATGAAATCCCTTTTCACATTTGGCTTGGCGTTAATCGAAGGGTTCGTCGAGGTCGGGTCCACATAAAATGATGCATAAAAAATGTAATCCCAGCCAAAAACTAGTAGAAGCAGAAGAAGAAGAAGAAGCAGCAGCAACAAATAACAACAACAGCAACGCAGAGATGAAGAAGACGAAGCCGTAGGCAAAGATACGAAATCTGTCTGACTTTAGAAAAACATTTTCACGACTCTCCGACTGCGAGTCATGATTTGTTTTTTTTTTCTTTTTCAGTTTTTTTTTGCGTCTTGGGGACCGAGGGCACAGGTAGCTGCTGCACATTTTCTAGCGCATTGCGCATTAGACACGAAAATGTTTCTTTTTGTTGTTGTTGTTGTTGTTTTATATTTGGTTTTAAGGTTTTTGCTTTCTTCCAACCTTCTTTGATTGCATTTTGTGGCGGCCGCGCCTCAGTGTTGCAGTCGCTCGGCCTCAGCCTCAGCCTCAACCGCATTCGCTCTCAGGGCTTAATTGGTTGCCGCAAACACTTGACAGGGGAACGGGGTGTGGAGCATGCGGAGTTGCTTTCGCTTGGCGTCTTGCTCGATTGGCCGTTGGCAATGACGGCGTCGTCGTCGTCGTCATCGTCACCGGCCATTGCTCCGCACATTAGAGATGCAGATACCTCAGAAGTCATTGACTTTTCTCGACCATTTCGTAAAATGCGCTTACCTTTTTAGCGCGGCAGAAGGTTCTAGTTAGAGCTCGCGTTCGGGTTGGGGAAAATGCACCGCTTGACAGATTTATATGCTTAATTAATTTCCAAATATTATGCGCATATTTTCCCACACTCAGAGAAAAAACAAGTATTTTCTTTTAAAAAAAAGCCAAAAGTCGCCAATAGTCCTAAATTTAGTGAAGTTTTTTAATGCAACCTTTTCTAATTTTTGATACTTTATGAATACGTCACACAAACACTTGAATAGTTCAGCATCGGTATGGCGTTGTTCTCCCCATTTTTCGCTGAGCATAAGTGTCTTATTTCTAAAACCGTTTTAATGCATTTCTCTATGATGCTTTAACATTGCAATGCCACCAGCATATTTTTAATTTTCACATTTCGTTGACGAGGTAAACAATTGTGTATTTAACCCCTTAACTTATTGGGGAAAGTCGAGAGAGAAAGAGAGAGAGAGAGTTATATTAAACCCTTAAACTGCACATCAGCTTCAGCTTCAGATGGCAAGCAGTTGATTAATTATGACCGACTAGGCAGCATCTTGAGCTTGTCCGGCCGGTCCAGCTGTCCGACTGTCCGACTGACACGTCCCTTGTCCGCCCTCCCATGTCTTGCCCTCATGCTCGCCCTGCCATAATTAATGTCAAATAATTGGCAGAAATTTGTTTGCCGTTTATTTGTGAGGCTTTCACAATTGCCGGCCACGGTACTCCCGCGGCCCGCGGCCCGCTCGCCACACTCCACGACTATTTCATTTTCACAATTTCTCAATCAATTTCTTTTATTGACAAAGATGCGGGCAACAAACAACACCCCGTCAGCCACGGAAATATGGAAAAATTTCGGCTACATTTGTGTATCTCGTGTGAATTGCAATTGCAACATTCGAGAACTCCGACCGCGCTCTGCTTGTTTATCAGCAGAACTATGAATAGAAGTAGTCCAAAGTAGTGCTAGGGTCGTTGACTCCACTGCGCTCCGCTCCGGTCCGCTCCGGTCCGTTGTTATTGTTCAACGTCGTCGGCATTTTTCCATTTTCGGCGCGACGCGAATAAAACCCAGTGCGTGTGGCTGGATTGCCATTCCGGCGCATGGAAACGGAAGCGCTCACATACTATTCACTGGGTGTGGGTGTCTGTGTGTGTGTGTTGTTGTTGTTGTTGTTGTTGTTGGTGTATTTGTGTGTGCACATGCATGCCCATGTGGGTGTGTGTTCGTCAGCCCCGGGGGTCTTCAATGAGTTATGACACAGCCATAGTCGGAATGCGTAAATGTGCAGAACCACCAGACCAGCAGGCTGGCCAAAGTCGTAATAGAAAGTAGACAATAGTTCTATTTAGGACTCCAAGAATCTGTTAACTAATTACTTTGAGGGCAGACATGATAATTACGATGCAATGCAAAGTGGCAGGATAAGCAACAAATGGCATGACGGAATATGCAACTAACCCTTTGACCTCATACACATACTTTTACAAGGATTACCTTTCAGCTGTTCTTATAAAGCTCTTCTAAAGGGCCCCTATGTGTATTTATGTAGCCTGTCTCCGGAGGGAAAAGGAATAAAAAGTATACAATATTTTTAGTAACTAAAAGAAGTATGCATTTCCAAAACCACACAATATGAATACTTCATTCCTCTTCCTCTTGATTGTTCCTGTAAAACATTTCCCTCCTTAATATATCTCTAAGGTGTTGGATAAAGTGAAATACAATCAATAATCTCGTAAAGTTCCTAAAAGTCACTCGACGTGGCTCTTACTTGACTTCCTAAAACATAGAATACTTGCATATAGTACTTTCGTTTAGTGGTAAACATTTTTTTCTATAACGATATCGTTGTTATAAACTATAAGCTTCTGATGAGTAATAACTATTTTTTATGGACGGCTGTAGGAAGTGGTTATCAGGACTTTTTTTTAGTTTCTAGTTAAAAATACAGAGTGTGCTTTGTCGAATTTATAACTTAATTAGATATCTGTATAAGCTATTACTAATTTAATATTGTAATTTTATTATTTATTATTAATTGCTTATGAAGTCCTTGCCACATTTGGGGGTATCTTCTCTTAGTGTCGATGTTGTTGGATTAAAGTTGTTTATTACAGGGCTAAACAGGTGCCCATAGCGTGGTCGCCTCAGCGATGAACCATCGTGCCAGTTTTATAAATTTTTAAATATTTGCTTATATATTATATATTCGTATTTTATTCGTAAATTTGTAAATATTTGCTTATATATAATTTATATTAGTATTATATTCGTAAGGCTTATGCGATTTCTTCAATGTTCTGTAAAGAGGAGAAGCCAAAAACTGTTACAGTTTCCAGTATTCTTCTCAGCGAATCCTATTGCTTTAGCTTCATTGTCCATCTTGCAAACATTTATTTAACAATTTTTTAGCTAGACCGTTTGGCACTATTATCTGACTAAATGACCAATATTATTCCCAATATATCCATATTTTTAATTAACTTTAGACTTGTTCATTTATGAGCACAAATGGCATTTCCACAAATGCTAACTTTTGGACTTAACTCTTTAAAGGCCTTGCATTGCTTTGTTGAGTTTTCCGATCTGATTAAACGTTTTACAAAAAGTAGCCCCCATCTGGCTTTCTCTAAAATGCATTTTTTTTTTGTTTTTCAAAATGCGGATACATGAAAACCGCGGCAACCTGCATCTTTGCGTTTTCATTTCATTTTCCCGCTGAGTCGATCGCTATCGAAACGCACAAATCTCTTTGTCCTATGCAGGATTCGCAGCGATCGGCTTCGCGTTCCCACAGTCCCGCAGTCTCGCGGCCTTTTGTCTAAAATGCAACAATATTTTTTATATCAAAATCAAAATCGAAGGTAAAAGTGGCGAGTAAGACCCAAAAGTCACATACAACAACAACGGCAACAACTACAACAAATGCAGCATTAACAATGAAGGTCCAACAGCGGTTAGGGAAAAAGGGCAACGATGGCGGCTGGGTCGGTGTCGGCGTCGGCGTCGGTTTCTGGTTGGAAGGCAAAGTCAAAAAATCGCTTAAGGTTAACACATCGCGAACAATGGACGCGCAAATGGACGTGAAGAAAAACCATCAAGCAGCGGGCAATTGTCGCGGCACCACTATCGACTTAGAGGCTTAGAGGGTAGCTCTAAAGTCTGAAGAAAACCTGTTTATTAAGTGGTCCATTGTACAGCCTGTACTCGTTCCCGTACCTGTTGCTGTTGCTGTTGCTGTTTCTGTTGCCTAATTGGGGAGAGATGCACATTAAATTGACTTGGCCCTAGAGTATTTGCTTATTGACTTAAGACATATGCAATGACTCAGCAGCCTACACGGCTGGAAAAAAGGTCTAGAACTTGAAATTGGCAAAACACATTTTTGATTCTTTCTTCGTCTTTTTTTGTATATTTTATTTCAATTTCTTTTTGTATCAATGTGCGTTGCAAGATCGCGCAACTGCCGCTCCCTTGCAGGTGCAAACACAAACAACAAAAGTCACATACTCCGAACAGGTTGTCCAAGGTATGGTATGGAGGGAGAGAGTGGAAAGGAGCGTGGAAAGGAAAACATTAGCCAAAAAGGACCAACAACAAACAGTGGAAAGGCATAAAAGGCCGAGTACATGTGAGCGCACATTTTCGACTATAAAATTTATTCGCATTAATCGCCGTCAAAGATAAATTAAGGATAACAATGGAAAAAGAAACAGACACAGGCACGGACACGGACACGGACACGAACACGAACAGAGTCGTCCGGCTTTTGGATGATAAGGCAGCATTGACACCTCTCGCATTGACCCTCTTCGAGAGGCAGCTACCTGCGAGCCAGCAGGACAACTGCCGCTTTATAGAGCTAGTTCGAGGACGAGGCAACCAATTCGCAGACAGGCTGTGCACACTTGTTGTCCTCATTAGGGCATCCGCATCATGTCAAATGCGCTCACAGCTTTTTCTATTGGCATCGTTTCTATTTTAGTAACGCCCCCCCCACCCACTGCAGTGCCACCTTGGAGGGGGTTGGGGGGTGGGGGACCGCTGTGTACCACAAAGTGGAATGAAGCGTATGCGTGTGTAATTAAGTGTCGCAAAAAGACGCATTCGAAGCTGGGCAGAAAGCTCTAAAATGGGCCGTTGACGGGGCCCGCCCCCATAGAACCGTGAGTCTGGCCTGTGTGTTGATATATGAGTATGTACAAGTGTGTGTGTGTGTGTGTGTGTGTGTGTGTACAATGTATAGTATGTGTATATTAGTGTTAGTGTATTAGTGTATATTATGTGTGTAAATAGGAAAAGCGTGTTGTGCCACTGCCACTGGTTGGCTCGTTTCCGGCCCCCCATCCTTCTGCTGCCGCTCCTGTCCTGCTCCTGTACTGCTCCTGTTTGTGCTGCCAGTGCTTCTACGGGACATGGAAGCTGGCGCTGGCACTGGATCGTTGGGGGTGATAAAAATGTTCATGTAAATTGCAAAAAGCAGTTTTTATGTCCCGTTGCCTTATTTTCGGCTCGTGTGCGTTCTCTGTTTTTGAAAAAAGCGTGTGAAGTGGTGCAAAATATTAAGTAGAATGCGAGTGCCAGGGGAGTAAGAACGTTATTTGTGTGTATGTGTGTGTGTGTGTGTGTGTGTATGTGTGTGCAGCCCGTGTGGTTGTTTGTGGGTGGCATTAGTTCGTGAACAATAGGTGGGTGTGTGACTCACTCGCTCAGTGGTGGGTGTGGCTGTTGCGCTTTGATGTGCCATTGTTGTTGAACGAGTATTTCTAATTCCATTTTCTTTACCGATAATGTATGCATACAAATACACCTTTTGCAACTGATTGCGCAAAAACATATAGCACGACCAAGGAAATTTTATAGAAATATTCCGAAATGTATTTGTTAGATTAATATTCGGCTCGATTAGCTAGTCATTTGTTACTTTCGCTAAGCCCATATTTCTGCTTTGACTCTGCTACTATATACTTGTATATATTTTTTTCTAAATCATTAAATGTTTGCTTTATTGGCATTAAAACAAGTCGTCCCTTTCATTCAGCATAGAGTGTAAATTCTTAAAACAGACATACATACATATACATATGTATCTTCAAACATAATTTATTAAGTCATTATTTAATTTAGACATCCTAGCCACAATAAACAAAAGCATGCTTCGGTATTAGGAAAACATCTTTCTATTATCTTTTCTTTTCTGGGACCTGGAAGAACCCGAGTACCAAGTCCAGGCGGGCATGGCTATATTGACTAATGGTCAAGAAGATACATATCCATATATACATAGAATTTGAGAACAATCAGCAACGCCTACTGTTTGTTACATTCTCACTAAACTAGTATGTACTTATGTATTCCCTTTTATTCTTCTCATTATGTATTTTTATGCCTTTTTATCAAACTAGTACTTTCGTTAGCCATTTGAAAAGCAGAAAGCAGTCTTTAAACTTTTCGAAATTTTCAGTCCCATCCCTTTTGTAACATAATAATTCCCTATCGGTAAGTCGCCTTCTTTCTAATTTGTTAGCAGAATATCTCTGCGATCATAGTCGCCGTATAAAAAAATAAAATGTAAAATATAACATAACCCGAATGGACCAATTTACATATGTATGTGTTGAAGAAATAAAATTATTTTTGTGTTTATCTCAATTAGAGTCGAGTTTTTAACAATTGACATACAGTTTTTAACAATTACATACATTTCTTAGCAATGTCAGTTTGATTATCAATATATGTATATGTATGCATGTATCAAAAGTAATTTATATAATATTTTTAATAATTTGTTTATTATATTGTTGAAGTCCCTGTATGGAGCTGATTGGATAGGATTGTTCATTTTTATGTTTATGTTTAATGTTTTTATTTAAATGATGACTGTACCAAATAGGCTGACAGATAGTTTGCACGTTGAATAATGGGTTGAAACATATGTATGTAGGTTGACGAACACGATCATATAACAAGCGTGTCCTCGCCCTGGCTGCTGAAAAAATACTGCATCTGATGATGCGAGTTTATTCCAATTTATCGCTTCTATCGCAGAGCGCTATTTAATGTCTGGTCACACTGACATCAAATCTGCCAAAACAAAAATTTTGTAAACTTTTTCTTGTGCTTGTCTGGGGACAAGCGCTTTAACACTGGTGAGCAGTTGCAAGGTTGCGCTTTTAGCGAAATTTTGACTGTCACAATTGCATCTAAAAGGGGCAATCGGGAAGGCATGGTAAGTTTCAGCACAATTCGGAAAAAATCAGTTGGTGTGACAATGTAAAAATGTGCTGTTTGTGTCCCCGATTCTGCATTTTCTTTAAAGGCCACCAACGCCACTGCCACCTCCATCTCCACCGGACAGAGTTTGTCTGTGAAACTGAAAATACCGCATCGAGTGCAACCGGAATTCTTGCCACGTCCGGGTCTTCCCGGCCAATACACAAACAAGCTCCACTACTTCAAGAAACATCTGCTGGACGAGGTGGTCAAGAAGAAGTTCGCCTTGGATTTTATGGAGCCGGTGGACACGGTGGCCTTGCAAGTGCCCACGTATTATACAGTCATTGAGCGGCCCATGGACATAGGCACCATTATCAAGCGGGTGCATAACAATTACTATCGGTACGTGGAAGAGGCCATATCGGACTTCAGGCTGGTATTGCGGAACTGTTTCACATTCAATTGTGCCGGCGACGTGGTCTACCGGAAGGGTCAGATGCTGGAGAAGTTTTTCACCAAGATAATCAGGGGCATACCGCCAGGCCCTGAGATACCCTGCCACAAGGATCCCAGGGCAATGGCTCGACCGCGTGGCATTTTGAAGGTCACATCTGCCATGATCGACATGGAGCGGGAATGCCGCGAACAGCTGAATCAACTCCAACACAATTCCTCGTTGGCGGACACGCATGCGCGCAACTTCTTCAATAGCAAGTGGGAGTCGCTGCATAAGAAACTGGACAAACACTACTTCAAGTCCGAGGAGGACTTTAAATCTCATGTGGATGCCATATTCAAGAAGTATTACGAGGGCGCCAAGATGATATATGAGAACACATACGGGAGGACGAGTGCCCAAGCACTGGGGCTTGTTGGCGCCGAATCCTCCTCAGCTGTCATAATGTTGGACGCCGCGGACGTGAGGACGCTCTGCAGGACCGCTGAGTTACTCGAGAACGGACTGCGCTACTTTGTCGAAGTATCAAAGCAAAAATGGGAAACCTGCACCGTCAAAGGGCTGGTCGATGACTTTAGTGATACGATTAATGCGCTTCGGGATCGCTATGAGATCCAACGGTTTTTTGGCAATCAGGACTCCGGTGTTCCGTGCATCGCAGCCCACACAATGCTTAGGGAAGGCGAGCTCGATTTCTTTTCTGTACCGTCTGATTGCGAAGCCGACTTTGAGGAGGAGAGACACACTTTTGTTGGCACCGATGAACGTCGCAGTGTGCAGAAACTGTTCGCCATGCTCCCGGTGCAATCAATGGCTGAGATAGTGCACATTATACTACAAATTGAGGGTTTTTCGATGGAGAGCAACAAGCACATGAACTTCGATGTGCAGTCCTTCAAACAGGAGACACTGCATCTTATGAAAAAAAGCATTACAAGGGCTGTACGGGCCACTACCAAATTGAACTTGCGCGACATGCAGCCAGCGGAAAAGGACGGTCTGAAACGGAGCTTAGAGCAACAATTGCAGGACATTACCAAAATATTGAATAGCGGGCGTGCTAAAAAGACAATTAAAGCAGCGGCCAGAGCGAAAGCACAAACTGATGATGGTACGCCCCAAATGCAAAGGACCGCCACAAATTACACCCGAACCTTGACCGACTCCAGCGGCAGCAGTGAGTCCAGTGACTCCAGTAAAACCAGTGAATCCAGTGCATCTAGTTCTTCTAGTGATTCCAGTGAATCAAGCAGCGAAGAAGAAGAGAAATCTTCCGTTTCTAGTCCGGCCGGCAGTTCACAGTCGAACAATGCGCCTTCTCAGGATTGTGTCGATGGGCCAAATGTGTCTCCACTATCTCAGTCTATGCGTAGCCCTATGTCGACCCTCAGCGAGCAACTGATGCTAAGCAGCACCGATATAAGCATCAGCAGCAGTCAGCGGAGTAACTGCAACAGTCCGGATAACTGCGGTGAATCCGACAATTGTAGCTTGCCCTCAAGTAAAGCCGGCTCTCCACCCCGGACAAACGAACTAAATCTGCAATTTATGTCTGAGTCTGATCAACATTCAATCGATCGGACACTTCAACTGGGCCAAGAATCAATGACGACCGTGTCGCCACCCCAAATAAATGAACATAATTCAACATCTTTTGCATTTAAGTCCGACATCCCTCCACTTGAGAAAAAATCAAAAACGCCTGAGTCTCAGTATCTCACATATGAATCGAATCAACAAGCATTGACGCCTGTATCTAGACTTAAGCCACATATTTACCAACTAGATCGTGCACCAATTACATCAACCTATGGAAGAAACCAGCAAGAATTTCTAACTGAATGCTCATCTCAACCTAGTAATTATCAACTCGATCAACAAATAGTTATGTATGGGTCCCCATCTCAGACATATGAATCAAATCGAAAGGTAAGAACACCTGTATGTGAATCTAAGCCACACCTTCACCAGTTAGGCAATCACGCACTTACGTCCGGATCTTTAAACGATAAACATAAACAGAATCAAATTTCAACTGGACCTGGATTCCTATCAAGCATTTATAAACTCGATGAATACTTAACAACCACAGACTCTCCAACCCAGATGTATGAACTAAATCAACAGTTACAGACACCTGCATCTGAATCCAAACTACAACCTAGTCAACAACTAATTAAAGATTCAGTTACGCCTGGATCTCCAATTCAGAAACATGAAGACTCAATTAAGCAGGGGTCTTCATTTCTGGCATCTCGCCTGAACCAAGCTTCAATTTCTCCTGGAGCTTCCTTGATGTATCAACTAGATCAAAAACCAATAGCCGCCGAGTCTTCGTTTCAACATACACTGACTCCTAGATCTGAAACTAAACGCCGAATATGCCAACCAGATGAACAATCCTTTACTTCTGTGTCTTCAAAGAAGACCTTTAAGCTAAATAATCAATCAACTGATTCCCCATCCCATACGCTTGAGCCAAGTACAACAAAGCCCCGAGTATTCCAAAAAGATGAACAATCCATTACCCCTGTGTCTTCTAAGCAATCTTATGAAAGCAAGTCTGCACCTAAATACCGCATGTGCCAAAAACCATTTTCAATTGGGTCTCCAACTCAAGCATACAAACTAAATCAACAATCATCAACATCGGGCTCTAAATGGCGAATATACCAACAAAATCAAGGTCCTAAATGCCCAATCCAAACAGATAAGCTTAGTAAACAACAATTTTTACCCGCGTCGGGGTCTTCAGACCAGTCCTACGAAGTACTGGAAAAAGATATCTTTTCAACTGAAGTTCCACAGCGGAATGGCCAGTCAAATACGTCAGCATGTCCAGCCGAAGGACGCCAATTTAATAAAAACAATCAATCTGTGCCAGTGTCCTTCGAAAACCACTCCAAAAAACTAATGAGATCGCCTAATAGATCTCATGCCGACAGCCGCAAACGAAAAAGTTACCTATCTACCAGAGATAGCTCTAGCAGCGACGAGGAATTCCATCTCGGACATACCAAATCTGTTAACAACCACATGTGCCTCGATCTCCAGCCGGAACAAACTAATTGAATCGCCAATCGCACACCGAGGGTTTCGAAATTCTTCTATTAAGCTGAAATGGCAAGCTACCCCAGCGATGAGGAATCTGCACAGCAGCCCGGTAAAAAGCATAAAGGATTTAGAAAGTATATATTTCGGTCTCTTAAATGTAGAGAACCTTAAACAAAACGATTTTAAGCTCTCTTTAAATATGTATACGTGCTGAAAACAATAAATAGCTAATTTATAATTATTATTTATTATTAACGAATACTAGTCTTGTCCATAACATCGAAGTAGCATTATATCAAGTAATCTAATTATACTGTTAAAAAATTATGCATGAATTTTCCGTTTTTTGTGATTTACTTAATGTTTTCCATTCTCGGATCATAATGTTCCCAAATGATTATCTTGTAAGTTTGAATAGAAATGGTATATAAGGAAACTATTGTGCAATATAATTTAATTAAGTATATCTATATAAAAAAAGAAAGGAAAACGCAAATCGGATTAAGAACTAAATACTCTTAATGCTGAACAATTTCATAGTACAAACTACACCTTCTTCTAAGTTAGTCATAAGCTAAAGTAGTAGTAATTCGAGAAGAAAATGCAAGTAAATCCTTCAAGAAAGGCGTGCTTTTTCCATGTATTAGTCTTAAGAGATCTTGCCATTGATGCCATCACGTAAATAGGAACTGTTCATTGAGAAAATATGCAAAATAACTTCAGTTTTTCACGAACCCAAAGATGCTCCTGCGTCTCCTGTAATGTGTTAAAATTAAAGGAAAAGCAGTTATTCAGATTGAAAAAACAACTACTTATAACTTGCCTTTTCATATACCACTCTTACTATATACACCTAATTCTGTTTTTACACGGTAGATTGGCTACAGAAAAGACATTGATCATATGGAAAAAAAGTTGATTGGCTCCTTATCTCTAAAGAAATATAAATGAAATTTGTAATTTTCAAACCGTGGTTTATCAAAAAACAGAATTACTTGTAGGTGTATAGCCCTGAGAAGTCTTTAAATATATGCTCGTCCAAGCCTTATCATGCCTGGTACTGACAATTTTGGCGATACATCGAAACCCACATACACATACTACGAGTATTATAATCAAAAATCAATTTGCATAAGAGTCGTTGACACTGACATCGGATAATTTTGCTTGCACATCCCGAAGGAAACGTTGTCTATGCAAAGATCACGTAGGCAGGCAGCGAATTTTCATAGACAGAATTATGCAAATCTGTCGAGTTTCTCACGGTCGGGAAAATGAGCGAGAGAATTGTACCTGACGCCCAGGCTGCCAAATTAGAGCGACGCGTCGGCAAAGATCATGCAGATCTTGGTGAACGGAAGAAGGTTTTTCACAAAAATTTGCATAATTTGAATTTTCACTTGGCGAAATGAAAAGGGTTGCGATGCAAAGATCTCGACGTGTCGTCTTCTATCTAATTTACATATTGAGGAGCCCAACTTTTGCAAAGTGAGGCGAAAATCTTTTCGCTGAAATGAAAGTGAAAATGAGAAAAGGAAATGCACAAACACACTCACACATGCACATACACACGTACACACTCAATCGCAAACACACAACAGGGGTTAATTATGCGCACAGTGGGTCAGTGGAAGAGGCGCCCGATGCTCAGCATGCCGACACGCTCGCACACCTGAGCGTTTTAGGCCACCAGAGGGTTGAACAAAGACAGCAGCAGCCGGGACAATAACAACGACAGTGACGCTCCTAGCTCATTTGCATAGAGTCCTGGCGCATTTTCAGGCTGCATCTGCAGCTCACATATAGTACATACGTGCATGCAATTTATATCGCTGATGTTGTTGTTGCTGTGGCTGTGGCTGTGGCTGTGATGATGATTTTATTTGGCCAGGCAAAATTATGTAAATTATGCGTGCAAAAACGCTGAGGAAACTTTCTCACGCTCAACACTTTTACTGCCCGAACCTTGCTGGTCGCTTGAGTTGCTCACTTGGCTTCGTCTAGGGTTCTGCCTCTGCATTCTGCTCTCGCTGGGCCTTCAACCGTGTTTGGGTTAAGACGCGCCGGGCTACAAATCAATTTTGATCGATATTCATTCAGTTTGTCGATTGATTTGCCTAATTTGCATTTCTTAACCTCTTCGGTTTCATGGGGAAACAAACGGAAACAAACTTAGAGTGAATGCGAAAAATTATGCAAATTTCTTAAGAACTTAACCCTTAGCCCGGAGGTCTGAGAAATCAAGTAAAGTGCATCGTTAAAAAAGTAACGTACTTTCTATTATATTGATGTTTTTTTCTGGGGAAGGTCATTTAAAAACAAAAATTGACATACAAAAGGTGCTGAACAAATCACTTTTAAAAGATTTCAACGGCTTATTAAAACGATGGTGCTGATGATTAGTTAAATATTTTCTATACTGTATTGAAATTTTTTTCATAAAAATACATTTGGGAAGCTAAGCTTAAAGCTGATCAAAACACTCTCAAATATTTGATTTAACTTTTAAAATTGTAGAGATGTAAAGTAATCCTCTAATTCTATATAGCTATATCTCCTTTAAAATTATTAAAAGCGAGGTAAAAAAAAAAAACACCTCCCTCCTTCATTCAAATTCCTTTGTTTCGCCTTCGTACTATCTTAACTCGCTGAACCTCGATTTCAGAACAGCGCCATTTTGCAAAAGTTTTTGCAATTTTTGCCACAGAGGCTGCAGCTCCTCCCTTTTTCCACCACCACGGAACTCCGAAGTCAACTGTCCAATGCAACAACCCCTAAAACTATATACATACGAACTCGCATCTCTTGCCACTTTCGAACTTGCGAAATCGCCAATACGATTTGGCAAAAACTGATCAAATGTACATAGCATATATACATATAGGGAATGAAACTGCAGTGGCAACCAATTGGCACATAAATAGAGTTCCACAGATGGCACAGCAACCACCGCTATGCCTCACTTCATTTTCACATCGCTGCCCTCCTTGCTACCTCCCCGTATCCCGCGTATTAACTTTGATGTTGCCACTGCACGCAGACCATAAAAAAAATCCGCAAAACGAGGGTTGTGTCTCGTAAAGTACTTAGCGAAGCACCCCAAACCTACTACTCGAACACACACACACTACAAACTTGCCGAACTTCCTTCCCCCCCTCACCCAGCTCCTGTCACACACACACACTCACATACAGTTTTCCAAGACCTTAAAGCTGTAGTGCGTAGCATTGCGTGTATTCGGAATTTTCGCGGCGAGCACTGCAATGCAAATTTTTTTTATTTTCTACTTGCTCGGGGGTTGAAGCAAAAAAACAAAAAAAAGGGCAAAAGTGAAGCTAGACATTGAGCAGACACCAAAACAGCAACCCCGGGACACGCTCTTAATTTTGCGCCCCTTTGTTGCTGCTGTTGTTGTTGTTGTTGTTGTTGTTGTTGTTGTATCTGCTCTTGTTTATGCTAAAAAGGCGTCAAGTAAAAATCAAAAGGAAGTTGAGCATTCAGGAAGGGCGACTGCGAGTTTAGTTGGCTTATTCAATGTGGTTTCTATCTTTAAAGTAAAGTGCGTACGCTGTCGAATTTTTTAAGCTTCTGTTATCCAGAGAAAATAAAAAAAAATATGTAAGTTGTGCGCTTCTGGGGGGTGGTGCGTTTTTTTTTTCCTCCTCATATTTGTCATACTTTCTTCGCTTTGATGCGGATTGATCAAATTTGATTAAAAACTAGAATGTGTTCTGTGTTCCAAGTGTGAGGGCTTCGCGAAACAGACCCCAAAAGAAATGATTTTTATACATTTCCTACCATTTCTAGCTATGTAATTACAAATTCAGGCGAAAAAGAAAAATGCACATATAATTATTTCCTAAGAACTATTTTT